TCCCAGAGACTCACCCAGAACTGGATGTCAGAGCAGGCAGGAGATTGAGACTCCCTTTCGATTGCAAAAGACAACCATGTCCTCAGTTGCCAGCCCTTTCCACGTGCTCCTCCGTACCTGTGCACTTTACTTCCGCAGCTCCCCTCTGGCTCTCAGTGTGCTTTTCTTTCTTTCTAGTTGTAGAATTTCCACTCAGCCAGCCTTCCTGTAGTTCTGGGTGATGTCCATTTTGTCTTTTCATTGTATTTTGAAGTTGTTGTGGGAGGCAGCAATTTCCCGGTATTTACCTATGCCGCCATCTTAGTTTCTCCCTCTCATTCATCCTTTGATGTAGCCACCATTTCTCTCTTCACATGCCTATTTAGCAGATAGATAAACTGAGGCACGAGAGGTCAAGTCACTTGCCCAGTGTGAAGGAGCCAGGACTCCGCGTGGGCATCTCATCCCAGAGCCTCCCCCTGACCTCCTGGTTTCCCTTTTAAATGACTTTCCCTAACATTTTTCTCCCCTGCCTATCTTCTATACTTTTGCTACCTCCTTTAATATAAATTGTACATGTGTTATTTATTTCCAGCTTTAAAAACTGGAGCTGACTTCCCACTGCTAAAAAATAAAGCCCCATTAACCTGTCCTTAAATCATATAAGATGCTTCAGAGTATGACCACCTGCAGCTTGTCTTCCCTTCCTAACCCCCATTTCTCTTGTACCCTGTTTCATCCATAGGGAATGTGTCATTCCCTGAAGATGCCATGTCCTTTGTCACTTTGGAGATGGGGCAGAAGAGAAGAAAGTGTAATGCATATTTATATTATCACTTTTTTTCCTACCTTCCTAAAAACAGCTATTGTTAATCTTTTTTTACAGGAATTTTTACTGTTCATGAACCTGTGGCATTCAGAATTCCATTGAATGACATCTTTAGATGCAATAGTATGTTGACTGCAGAAAAGAAAGATGTTATCCAGCACTATTGGGATGTTCATGTACAAGCTTTTGTCCAAAATGGCACAGTGAGCACAAAAGGTGACTCCTTAAAGTATATGTTCCTGTACTTGGGTCCTAAATTAAGATGAGTATACCAGGTAGCTTTGTTGAAGTTGTTACCTGCAAGCAAGCATATACTAAGATTTATTCATAGTTTACACTGGACTATAATATTTTTATAAATAATAATTCTTATTCTTATGGAACTTATAATTTTAAGTTTATAATGTACCTCTTGTGGAATGGTATTTTAAAAATATTTTTATTGATTTCAGAGAGGGAGAGAGAGGGAGAGAGAGATAGAGACATCAATGATGAGAGAGAATCACTGATTGGCTGCCTCCTGCATACCCCCAACTGGGGATTGAGCCTGCAACCCGAGCATGTCCCCTGACTAGGAATCGAACCATGACTTCCTGTTTCATAGGTTGATGCTCAACCACTGAGCCATGCCAGCCAGGCTGGAATGGTATATTAAAATGCTTTATTTATAGTGTTTTCAGCCAATACAACCTAGTCTTTGTTTGATCAAATCCTCAAATAGTATTTGATCGTCAGCTCTTTCACTTTTGATGATGCAAGTCCAAAGCATAGAAATTTTATTTCTGAGTTCTAATCTTGAATTTTTTAAATTGGTTTTATAATTTTCATATAACTTTATATAACTGTAACAATTTCTCATTCATCAGTTCTGGGAAACTACCAATACTTCCTAAAAAGAGGTTGAAATGCCTATGATTTACTCTAGGGGTAACACAAATAAAAAGTTCATTTGTATTTAAATCCTTCAATAATCTCTAAACTTTCTTCTGGTAAACACTATCTTTACAGTGGTTGTATGTGGGAGAGAAGGGGGCAGGCCTACATTGGAGCAAAATGTTTTCAAACTTAAGTCTCTGATTTTCACATAAGAGGCAGTGAAGTTCTTTGGGAATAAAGGGACTTAAGGGTCTGAAATGATGGATTTGCAGCTGGCCATGTTTGAGTAGATAAAGCATTTGTGTGTGTCCAGCCTGTCTGCTGTGTCATAACTCTTAGAGATTGTCTGCATATGAAGCAGCAGTTTGAGAACTCTGACTCATTTATTTTAAAATATCTATGGAGGCATTCCCTCCCCTTCTTTTGGACTGCTATTGTGATAAATAGTTTGCTCTTCCTAGGCCTTTATGAGTTAAGAAAAATTCTACTTTAATTTATTTTGTCCTCTGTTTTAGAGTTTCTGTGTGATAAAGATAAAACTTCAACCACTGTTGTGCCTGTTACTCCCACCACTTTACCATCTCCTACTACAACACCTGCTCAAAAGGAAAAACCAGAGATTGGATCCTATTCAGTTAATAATACCAATGGTACTTGTCTTCTGGCTACCATGGGGCTGCAGTTGAACATGACTCAAGATAAGGTATAGTTGTCTATAGATATCACTCAAGATAAAGTATGGTTGTTTATTTTTATGCTACATTCAATTTGCATCTCCTTTCAAATAGTGTAGCCTACATTCAGCTCAAGCATAGTGTTATTAGAATGATGGCATTTTAAATGGAGATTTGATGTTGACTCATTGAGTTTTGGTGAGTTTGGAGTTACTATAACCATGAAGAGTTAATGTTGTTCTCAAGGTGTTATCTCGGGCAGTGGGAAACCTAGCAGTTTAACAGACTGTTTGGGTTTAGATTCCATTTGCCATCAATAGATCAGGCAATATCAGAGTTGATCGTTATTTCAGTCAGTTTAAATATAATTCCTTCACACTTTTATCAAAAACATATGCTATAGGTTGATGTATGAGAATAGTGTAGCTGTCTATTTCTCCAGCTGTTTGATGACTGGAATCATATAGATATGTCCACATACAGCATGGAACTTCTAGTTGCAGTATTCCACTGAGGCTACAGAGGGTGTACCAATAAGCAAATCCCATTTCCAGAGACCTGTGACTTAAGCCAGACAGCTCTTGCTCCATAAATTATGTGTGTTTTCATTTGGCTCCTTACTAAGGAAGATTCCCTCTTGTTTTTCTTTTTTTTTTTTTTAAGTCATCTGAGTCACAGCTTGAAGGCCTGTGCCAACTTTGTTTGAAAGTAAGACATCATAAACTTAAGTATCCAGACAAAAGGATTTTTTTCTTCTCCACTAAAGCTGGTCTTATTAGATTATAAGGTTTTGTTGTAGACATTTGTGGCTAATCTGTACCTTCCTCCCCGCTTCTTCCCTTAAAGGTTGTTACAGTTATTAACATCAAACCCAATACAACTGACTTCACTGGCAGCTGCCATTCTCAAACTGCTCTACTTAGGCTGAACAGCAGCAACATTAAGTATCTTGACTTTGTCTTTGCTGTGGTGAGTAATAGATTTTTCTAAAATTAGGCTTATTCTCTCAGAAAGACATCTGAAAATATAAATAGGTGTGTGTGTGTGTGTTTTGGGGAGATAATTACCTCTATTTTCCATTTCAACACTACTTAATTATAGAGTGTAGTCCATTGATTCCTGTTAATCCCTCAGGGTCACCTCAATGGTCTGTGGCTGGACTCTGACATTAATGTTCACCAATTGTGGCTATTCTGCATTTTATATAGATCTCAGGGTAGGAGCAAGAATCAACCCACATCAAAAAAACTGTCTAGCTGAGCCAGTGTGACTCAGTGGTTGAGTATCAGCCTATGAACCAGGAGGTCACTGGTCAGGGCATATGCCCGGGTTTTGTTCTTGATCTGCAATAGGGGGCATGCAGGAGGCAGGTGATCAATGATTCTCTCTCATCATTGATGTTTCTATCTCTCTCTTCCTCTCCCTTCCTCTCTGAAATTAACAATATATTTTTGTTAAAAAAACAACTATCTAATCTCTCCATATATAAAAAGTATGTATACATATGTATGTGTGTGTGTGTGTATATATATATATATACACATGTATATGTGTGTGTGTGTACACACACATATGTGTGTATGTGTGTGTGTGTGTGTGTGTGTGTATATATATATAAAAGCCCAGTGACTGAAAAGCAGAACGACCAGAATGACCGGTTGACCAGTCTCTATAACGTGCACTGACCACCAGGGGGCAGACGCTCAACACAGGAGCTGCCCCCTGGTGGCCAGTGTGCTCTCACAGTAGGAGCACCGCTCCGCTGACCAGGATGAACAGCTGCTCCCACAGCGGGCTGATCCTCTCAGGCCATGCCCCCACCAGCCAGTGCACGATCCGTGCACTGGGCCTCTAGTGTGTGTGTGTGTGTGTGTGTGTGTGTGTGTGTGTATGTGTGTGTATATATATATATATGCCTAAACGACCATTAGGACCAGGCGACCAAACGGCTGGTAGCAATGATGCACACTGACCACCAGGGGGCAGATGCTCATGCGGGAGCTGCCCCCTAGTGGTCAGTGCACTCCCACAGCTAACCTCCCATGGCCCGTCAACCTCCCGGGGCTCCTCCCCCTGGCTGGCAGCCCGATCTGCCTGGTCAGGACTGGGCGAGATGGCCCCAATCAGCTCTGATCACCAGCCAGGCTGAGGGACCCCACCCATGCACAGATTTGTGCACTGGGCCTCTAGTATAGATATAAAAGATAAAGTAATATCCATACTATTTTTCTCTATTATTGGTTAGAAAACTCTCATATTTGAGTACTATAATATATTAGGCATTTTAGAAGCTATACTATTTGTAATAGTACCAGTAATAACAGCTACATTTGAGTAATTGATATCGATAAGGCTCTGTATAAATACTTTACATGCATTCATTAATTAAATCAAGACAGTTTATAATGGCAGCATTCAGGTTTTTGTTCATATTTGTATCAAGGTCTGAATCTTAAACAGAAAGTTCCAAGTTAAGCACACATTCTCTACTTCTTGCTAGCATAAATGAATCATTGGGAACCTTTATTTTCACGTTCTCGGAAGCAGTTATTATCCCCACAATTTTTGGAGGGGTGTGTGTGTATCTAAGGGATAGGAAAATAGTCTTGACATCTGATATAGAAAAAGTTAATCTGTTATTATTTGTTTTATATCTGAACTTGGTTTCCTGAGCCTAAAACCTTTTATTCTCTCTGGAATATAATGCCAAGAAACTTAGGATTATATTAGACAATTACATTTTAGAAAGGTTTACAAAAATCTTCCCTTTTCTAACATTCAAATCATTCCTCTGTTATACTACATACTAGGGCAGTGATGGCGAACCTATGACACGTGTGTCAGAGGTGACACACAAACTCATTTTTTTGGTTGATTTTTCTTTGTTAAATGGCATTTAAATATATAAAATAAATATAAAAAATGTGTCTTTGTTTTACTATGGTTGCAAATATCAAAAAATTTCTATATGTGATACAGCACCAGAGTTAAGTTAGGGTTTTCAAAATTCTGACACGCCGAGCTCAAAAGGTTCGCCATCACTGTACTAGGGGCTCAGTGCATGAAATTCATGCACTGGGGAGGGGGTGTCCCTCAGCCCAGCCTGCACCCTCTCACATACTGGGAGCCCTCAGGAGATGTCCTATTGACAGCTTAGGTCCGCTCCCTGCTCCCCTTGGGGAGCGGGCCTAAGCCACAGTCTGGCCTCCCTTTGTGGGAGATGACCGGGCTGATCAGGGGAAGGCACCAGCCCCATCACCCAGCTGCTGGAGCCACTGCCAATCACCGCAGCTAGCAAGGTTTTTCATCAACACGGACTCCAGTCCCTTTACCATGAAAAAATGACAACTTTCTTTAGGCATTTTC